CCATTGTGGTTGGAACCTTTGGACCCGAGAGATATATGATTATGGGAATCAGGGGCCACATTGTGACTAGAACTTCCAAAGGAGCGACCTTTGGCGCCTCCCGAACCGATTCGATCGACTTCTCGACTATCTGACAAGGCGACCACTACCCGAACGGTAATAGAAAGCAGATAGAGGTAACGGTATAGCCTCATGATGCCTGACTTCTAAGACGGACCGTGAAGGACTATGAATGAAAGAACTGGGATTCTATTATTCCTGTCATGAGACCTAAAGTATTGGGTCGCTCAAAGTACTAGGATTTTGCGATCAGGCAGGAAAAGCCAGGCGAGAGCGTACTCCACGGTGGCCCTGTAGTTTTAACACACTTGAAGAGGCGAATGAGGTTGCATATTTTGCTAATCTATACGGCAAATACCTCTATTGACTCCGTCAACGAGTTCTTGAAACACGGTCGTAATGCAAAAGTGGCAGTAGGTGGGCTCTAGAAGGATATCTAGTATCGTCATTCTATGCCTTGAGGATGACATCGGGCTTGGGGGGTGCACCGTAAAGGGGGGCGGAGAATACAAGTACGCATATGAAGGCGATGGGAGAGTAACTTGCTCATATCTCATCCTTAAGTCATGGTAATGCACAGGATATTCATGTACGGATAATATACTCCGTCTCTAGCAAATGTAGCCTACCTAGCAGAAACGGAGAATGTGTACGACATATCCATCACTTTAAGGATTTGGGGGAGAGTCAAAATGTCGAGTCAATGATTGATCCTAAAAAACCATCGTGAACTAGGGAGTCGTTCGAAAATGATGGACAGATTTTGCCTTTTATGGCAATGTATATTGCATGAGCGGTGTTTGAGCGTGAGTCTATTTTTCGCACTTAGGGGGAATAGGGGGGTAGCAAAGTATATGGAACTTCCGACGTATCCCACGCACAGACTGACCACCCTCCGGATTCTCTTGGCTGTATGTAGATACGGCCAATCTTTCTGTCCGGATACTTAATATTCAAGAAAATCCCAGAGCGCTAGAACGAATACCAGACAAGACCGCTGCTACTTCTCATCTCAGCTCTCCTTCTGGCGACAAACTGGAAAAAAATGTCACTGGCAATTGACCTCCCAAGTGAAGAGAGCCACATCCACTCCAGCGGGATAAATCAGCTATATATACCTAAAGTAGCTCAATTTATTTTCGCCATCTAAACTACACAACAGTTCCCTGCTCTCTTTCCGACATACAGGCATCTCATTTTTTGGAAGGAAACGTCGGTCAATCCAGTCTAAGGCGATTGGGGTTTTCGTGTCTGCCACAAATGTGTTGTGCACAGCGATCATGTGAAGTAGCGTACTATTCCTTTAGCTTTATTCCTCTTCTTATCTTCATTGCTGTAATTCCGGCTCCCTGGTATATAGGTATATACCTACCTAGCTAAGTTAGGCAGATATACAGATTTCTATTGGATACTACCTTAGTCACGGGCGAAAGTGTTGGGGACATCTCGCATTGGATCTATTCTACATATAATATCAGAAGCCTACGGCTCTATTTTGCCGGTGATGTTACCCTGTACCATAAAAATAGATTGCCTACACGGGTTTCCATAGTCTAGACTCCTCGGCGCCTAAGGTAAGATTATTTAAGATCCATGCTCCGGCGCTCGCATGTACATGGAACTCAGGAGACGATAAATAGATTAAACACTCTTCGCGACTGAAAAGGATGAATCTTCAAGAAGTGGGAAAATGTCTCCTGCTGGGGCTCTTCTTCGAATGCCTTGCCGCTGCCATCGGCGTGAGCGCATCTAGTATAAGGGCTATATACCTATTCAAAGACGTGCTGAAATCAAACACTGAGGCCCTGAAGACGTCTGGCTTCAACAGCGTGATTATTTTCGGTGTCGGAATCCTTGATAATGGCGATATCATGTATTACTCCAACACACCGGGAAGCAAGGACGCGCTTATCGCATCCAACGGTAGCTACGTCGGCGGTGACACGCTCTCCGATAAGGTGCGGTCGTTCAAGACGGGTGAGACGGGAATTGACCGGGTGGAGGTCTCGATGAATGCGCAGCATGTCGCCGACCTCATGCGGACTCCAGGGCCCGGGGCCTCAACGCCGCTGTACCGCAACTTCGAAGCGCTCAAAACGGCGTGGGGCCTGGATGCTGTCAATAACGACGACGAGTCCATATATGACGTCTCCAGCACCGTTGCCTTTGCGAAAATGCTTGGGGCGGTGGGTTTAAAGTACACCATCGCGCCATATACCAACACGCGCTTCTGGGCCTCGGTGACGACGCAGGTTAACAATGGCCTCGAAGAGCCCGACTTACTATTGGATAGAGCGTATCTACAGTGCTACGATGGTGGAGCTGGGAACGACCCCGGAAGCTGGCAGAGCACCCTTGGCATGAAGGTGGTGCCACTGGTGTGGGTTACGAACGACTCGAAACCGTCACAAGGCACTACCGCCGCACAGGCAAAGTCCAGGTTTCAAAGTTGGAATTCGCGAAGCCCTGTAGCCGGTGGTGGATACTGGAACGATTACGACATTGAGAAGATGGGACTGTCCTATACAGCATATGGCGACGTTCTGAAGAGTATGTTCCCATAAGGTCATTTTGACTACTATCTCTCTCACTGTGTCAGGAGTTATCCCTACGGGATATGAGACAGTAGGACAAAGAGCTCCGTACCATATGTACGGAGCAGTTCTCCCTAGATAGGTTCATAGTTCCATGCGGAACAACGTTGATTCTCCCATCTCTCTTGGGCGGCCTCGTGACACACTGCTCATGTGCCTCAAGGCGCTTTTGAGTGTCCGCAGTGCGATATGCCTCTCTTTCCAGAAGAAGGGCCCTTTATAACTATGAGAAATCAATGGGCATTCAATATAAAATAGGTTATTCATTCAAATTTCCATTGTGTCTGTGGTAATTGGATTTGTGGCAACTTGTTGGAATCGCGCACCTCATTCCAAGCAGGAAAGGGGAGAAAAGGAGAGGCGGAAGGAGAACTTGTCAGCCCTAAACCACATAGTAGATTAGTGGCCCGATGAAGGATTGCTGATGGATCGATATTTGATTTAGTTGGCTTACATAGGTATTTATTTTAAACCACCAACACCAACCAACCTGTTCTGGTACACCCCGCCCCGTTGTAGGCGGTGGTTTTTCTCTAGCATGATTCAACACATCGCTAACACACCAATTTTGCACTCGCCAAGCGTTTTCACCACTTCATCACCTGTGAAAGCACGACCAGAGATCATCTCCTTCCTCTACTTGTCTGTTCAGGACGCTTGTCTGACCCAACATGCCTATGGTGGCTCTCCCTTCCAAGCCAGACGCCCCTGTCGCATACGAGCTCTTCCAGGGAGGTGCGGCAAGCAGCCTTCTTATCGTCTGCCTTAATGGCCTCGGGCTTGCGCAGGGCGTTTGGAAACCAACTATCGAACTCATCCAACAGTCGAGTCTCTCCCCAAAGCCATGGATACTCACGTACGATCGCTACGGCCAGGGAGCTTCTCCCAGGGATCCGCGCGAAAACTGGCCAAGCAAGGATCCCGGCTATGCGCACACGCTGGACGATGTCACCGACGATCTTCATGAGCTGATTCAAACCTTGTCTCCTGAACGTTCCTCCCGTATTGTCTTTGTGAACAACAGCATAGGCGCACATGTCGCGCGGAGATATGCAGACAGGTACCCACCTACTCAATGGCATGACCGCATTTATTTGCTACAGCTTAGCTGATGACAGGCGTCTGATCTAGATATCCTACAATTGTCGAAGGAATTCTATTCCTCGACTCCAACCCTGGAAACACGGACTATGAGAGTATTTGGCCGAACCCTAAAGATCCGTCCTTTAATCTGGAGCAAATGACTCCTCCGGGCACCTCACTGGAGGTGTATGAAGCCGCTTATAATAAGATGACAACTATATTTGCATCAGGTGCAAAGAACAACGAGGGATTCGACAGGCGGGAAATTAAGAACATTCTGCCCGACCCATCAAAGCCCAAGCTCAGGGGCTCCAAGACTTCGGATAGAGGTCCTTGGGTAACCGTCGTAGGCCACGAGCTTGAGCAATTCTCACAGGAGGAGTGGGTGATGATGAAGGTCCCCCTGGGTATGGCTGCGATGTACACTCAACCGTAAGTGAACGTCTGTTTCTCGATTGAGCACTGACTAAGAAAGAACAGTATGTGGGACAAGTACAACGAAGGGCTCTGTAGGCTCACTGACCCGGATCGAGCGAAGGGACCACTAATTGCACCAAAGTGTGGGCACTTTGTCCAGCGGGATAACCCGCCCTTTGTCGCTGAACAGCTCGAAGATCTCATCAGGAAGGTTGAAAGTTCTCACTGACTACGTACAGTGCGGAAAATCTTGAAATGTTCCATATTGATACTTTGGCTAGTATGGACAGAAGTAGTAGGTTATACGCTCTCTATAGCTTCGACAATAAACTGGTACTACTACCATGAATTCCGCGGAGGTAATTGCCACGAGGGGACATTTGTCGCTATCGCCTTGAAGCTTAAGTCATAACGCTTCACAGGGTTGTAGTAGGTAGATAAATAACATTCCTAACCTTAAACATTGGCATGGTGCAGGTATAAAGTACCTGCTTTATATGCAAGTTTCTTGTTCTATTTTATGGCATGCTTAAGGGATCAGCCTTGAGGGCTAACAGAACATGTCATATCCTCTAGCTAAGGGTATATAACCTTAGGATCAAACCAAGCTACCATACGCTATAATAACTACCTAGTTTATCGGATTAGCCTTAAGCGCTTATTCTAAGTCAATAAGGTATAGCCTATCCTTCCTTACCAGGCTTAAGATCTATACGGCCTGCTAGCCTTGCTTAACTCCGCTACCTTTTAACTCCTCTGCCTTTGCTAAATACTTAATAACTCCCGCTATATATGCCTATTGCCTAAGGAACTCCAGCTCTTTAGTCTTTAGTCTTGCTCGTGCAATTACCAAGGTGGGATTCAAACCCACTACCTCTTAGTCTACACCAACCAAGAGGTCAGCCAGGTGCCTAACCATTGCACCACCCGGGGGTATAAAGTAGCTTTATAATAATAGAAGTTGCTATCTTTGTTTATTGGATGCTTCCTTTGTGCCATAAGCAGCACATTAAGCAAAACAACAATAAAGACTCATCTGAAAGTGGAACGAGCAAGCGACGAAGACCAGTTTCACACGGGGAAACCATATTTATTATAACTACACGTGGGAAGCCTCCCATACCTACATATATAAGTTCAATTTCAGCTCAAGTCATTGTTACAAGATTTGCTTTGTGTGATAAGAGAACCCGGGATGGCGCCGTTGTACAGACATTACGCCATCCACGTCCCGTGGCGAGACGAAGACCCTCCCAACCAATGGACTTCTGACAGACACATCAATCGAAATGGCTTCCTTTTCGTGGATGCAATCTGCTTCCCTAAGGTACATAGTGTTCAATCTTTAGGGACGCCCAAGCAGCTCTTGATCAATAAGGTTGTAAGGGGAAGCCATTATGCGGCGGAAGCACCACATGACCTCCGGATTTCGACCGCTGCTCAAGGATCGGTCGTCCAGCTACCTCGGCCGTACTTGGTCAATGGCTACGAGAGAATACATTTTAATGAGTTGGTCTGTTGGCAAAGGTTTAGCGGTAATCATGCCGATGTTTTTTCCATGTACTTTAAGTAAGCTTCCCGAGCGAAATATCCAATGGGCTTTAATTTTAACCATTGTAGGTACTGCAACGGCGGCAGTCTACAAGAGTTCTTAGAAAAATACCGGCAACTAGGGCGAGCAGTACCAGAGCATTTTGTTTGGGTAAGTAGCTAGCATCCAAAATGATCAACCAAGGCATCTAGTCACCCAGGTAACCTTCTTCGGTCCTCCAAGTCTTGTTCTTTCATCTAATCCTTAAAAGAAGAACGCTAACTCTCAACGCTATAGCTCGTAGCAGAAAGACTAGCCGAGATCCTCAGATATTTTAATTACGGCACCCCTCCGAACCCAAATCGCGAAGTCACACCGGCGTTCTGGACACGTAAGTACTCGGAATCCGGATATCATACTCGATTAAACCCGACCCAAACGCTATAATTAAGCCAGTGGTTATATATTACAGCATTTACCAGCTTAAAAGCTTGCAGACCTTTACACTGACCATCGATGAGAAAAGTAATTGCCCACCGTGACATAGCGGAAAATAATATTTTCATCCATTATCACACGCGATCCCGGGGACCCGCGGATCGAATCGATGGTTTTGAGACCAATGCTTTTCCTGAAGGTAGGTGTCCTTTGGAATTATCCCTATTCTGGGGAATTTTCATTCCCGTTGCATGTTCTAAGCCCCCAACTGCTCGACAAGCTTTATTAAACCCCCCAAAGTAAAAGGAAAACACATACTAACACCTAAGGTTTAGTCATTCTAGGTGACTTTGGCGACTCAGCTTTACAGACTGATCCTCCCGGACAAATGATGGGGGGAGTGTACAACTCAAGCGTAGTCCATTTCTGGGAAGACATATTCAGAGTGGGAGAAACACTTCGAAAGATGTGCCAAACACATATACCAACCGCCGCCTTCCGGTACTGGAATGATTCCCGGGACTCAAATGAAATCGCTATGAACACCGTAAATGGGCTGCTCGGTCCCAACGAGAGGCCTTATAGCCCGGAACTCATCAGGATGCTACAGCAGTTCGAATTCCCCGGCGGCACAACCGGCGCCCTAATAACCGACACTTGGATAGATAATGCTGGTAGGACGAGGATGAATTGGGAAAGAATGCGTGCTAATCCTGCATGGGTTCGCGATACGATGGTGCCACTGGCTAGGAGGAAAGTCCGGGCCTATCGAGGCCATGTGATCCCTCGTGGCTATTGGCGCCAATTGGATGTTTCGTGGACGAGACCTTCTAGGTTGATGCCCTTTGAGTAAGTTAACCTCGTTTTATCCCCCACTTGTGTACCTTGTTATCGAAAGGTTCAGGGGAGAGCCTATAGCCGTTAGGTCACCTACCAATCCTCAGAGAAGAGACGTAATTACCTGAAATCAAGACTAACATGCTTTGGATAGGTATAGATTTCCGGAGCAGGAGTAAGTAAGACCCGGGTCTATCCATTACATCGTTCATTGCGAAGTACCTTAAGGGGTTTAATCTCTATTTCGGACGCATTTTGCCCCTATGTAGGGCTTAGTGTCCATGTTATTGGTTATATTTGGTGCCCCAACGCTAATGATTGTAACAGCCAAACTGATAGCAGCGTTGGGAGAAATAATAGCAGCAGCAATGGAAGTAACAACGGAAGCAATATTGGGAGCAACAATGGCAGCGACAGCGGAAGCAACAATAGGAGTAGCATCGATCGTGGAGACGAGGATGAAAATAAGGAGGGGAATGACGAACTAAATCATAGAGGTTCTACGCCACAGACGGAGGAGAGTGAGCAAGAAAATGAGGACGAAAATGAGGACGAAGAAGAAGAGCAATACGAGGACGAAGAAGAGGAACAAGACGAAGACGAAGAGAGAAGTGAACTAGAAAGTGAAGACGTATGGGAAAATAAAATTCATAGATGCCCGACACCGGAATTCGAAAGAAACATGAAAAGATTAAGATGCATCACGGTTTGGGAGGACAACCCCAGCGGGAACATACGGCCGCCGCACAGAGTTGTGACTCTAGAATTCGGAGTGGGATCCGTCCTTCCCATTAACAACGATCCACCGGATTTGCCGCCACCGCCGCCGCTGGATGATGGTGCTAGTGCTGCGAATAGCAATAGTAATTCTTCTGAGATATTTACCAGCTCTTCCCAAGGCGACGAGGACGCCATCTTAGACGACTCGAACGATGAGACCTACATCGACGTACCTACATCATCTTCGGGAAGAGAGGAGTAATTGTTGTTGTATTGGGAAAGGTTGAAGGCCAGGGAACGGTTGGGGTGGGTTGTCTTATACACAGAGCTACAAGTTTATCGCACTTGCCACTATTGCATACCTGCCACCATGTCTCTTCACTATTTAATATATTATCTTAGCTTGGTAGAGTAACCATTATTTTATATTAGCCTATCTCACTTTACCGGTTCATATTCTTATTTTACGAATCCTTTGATAGTTTCTACGCGTAGATCCCTTACTCCGAGCCCCTGACGTCTCCCATGAGATAACCTCACGCGGTAGAGGAGTTCTCTTTCAAGCCGTGCACAAGATCCTGTGTGGAGCCGCCATTACACAGGCATATCATTACACAGGCATATATACCTCGGGACGACCCTTCAGGTAATGCTGGCGCATAGGAGTCACTTTGCCGCATCGAAATTGACTGGTTGACGCCGTGCATACCACTTTCCGCGTTTTACGAACCCGGGATATCTGGAGCCAATATAGAAAAATGTGAGCTAGAAACCAGTCGTTGCCGCACAAGACATCATTTTGTAGCTCGCTCCAAACATTAGCAATGGATTGCTTGTTCGGGCGCGCATACTGCTGGAACATACTCAACCCTACCTGGGACGGTTGAGTGGTTGGGACAGTTCGTAAGGGCAGGATACCCTGCAAATTATGGTCTGAATATTGGGAAAGGGGTATGATAAAATCCTCGGTTCAGTAACAGAACTCCATTTGAAAATTATCTGGCAGCAGGCCTCTCATTCTCGTTGCCGACACATGCCCCTGAGAACGGCCATCAGCTCGCCGTCCACACGAACGGCACGCTCAGACTTCAAAGCATAAGCCCCTTAAAAAGCCAGCTTCCCTCCAAGCCCGCCGTTCTTAGCAAACATCTCCCTGAGATCCCCAACCAGCAGCTCCGGCTTCTCATACGCGGCGAAGTGTCCTCCCTCCTCATGCCTCCTCTCAAACACCACCGGCCCCACTGCAGCACACGAACGTAAGCAACTACCTCACATGGAAGTGGTAACGGGATCCCGGGAGTAAGCGAAAAAGGGGGAGAGAAAGTCGGGAAAATACTCACAAGTCCGCCCCCACGAACTCGGCAGCACAACGACGTCCCGAGGGAAATACGAAATCCCCAGCGGCACCCCGCCATTCCACCCCATAACGTCCATCGCGCCCCCTCCTCCTCCCCCTCCTCCGCCGGGCTGATGCACAGCCTCGTAGTAAATCCGCAAGCTAGCGTCCGCGCCCGCCTCGCTGAACTGGTAGACGCCAACCCAAGTAAGCACCTCCGCGTCCGTCCAAGCGTAGTCGTCCGTCCAGTCCCGCAGCTTCTCGAACACCCAGGCCAGCAGCGCCACGGGGCTGTCCGCCAGCGCGAAGCCGAGCGTGTGCGGCCGCGTGGTCTGGACGCGGCCGTAGCCGTCGCCCTCGGCGCGGAACCGCGCGCTGCGCTCCAGCCCGGCCCTCTCGTGCGCCGAGTACCACCCCAGCGCGTGCCGCAGCACCAGCAGCGGCGACCGCAGCGGGCTCGGCGGCCGCGCCAGGACGAAGTTGACGTGCGACGCCGCCACGTGCGACGGGTAGCGACGCCCCATCGCCCGCGTGATCATGAACCCCCAGTCGCCGCCCTGCGTCGCGTACCGCTCGTACCCGAGCCGCTGCATCAGCTTGTGGCACACCTCGGCGTACTGCGGCACGCCGAAGCCGGGCCTCGAGACGCGCTGCGAGAACCCGAAGTTCGGCAGCGACGGCGCCACGACGTGGAACGTCGGCTCGTCGCCCTCGCCCCCGGATGTGAGGAGCGGTAGGATCTTGGAGACTTCGAGGAAGCTCCCGGGCCCTGTTTGCGCGCATCAATCAAGGGCATTTGACACTTCATATGGTAGCATTATTCCTCCGGGTAAAGAGTTAGATACGTAGGTAGGCTTACATCCATGGCAGAATAGCAACGGGATAGCCCCAGGTTTCTCGCTCTTCTTGTGCACAAAGTGAATCCTGAGATCCTCGTGCCCCTCCACGCCAATCGTCGTAGTGAACTGCGGCAGCTTCTCGTTCAACTCGGCCTCGGCGGCGCGCCAATCGTACTTCTCCCGCCAGACTCGCGCGAGCCGCTTGATGTCATCAAGCGGCGCGCCGTAATTC